TGAACCTTCTTATTTATTTAAATCAAGTCACAAATAAAAACAAAATAAAGACAGGTATGTGAAAGTTCCTGTGTTGTGATTTATCTAAACAGCAAGCTTTCGTGTAGAGAAAGAGTAACCCAAAAAGCTCTCAATGAGACATCCTTTTTTCATTAGGAATTTCAGCCTTCTTTTTTTTCCTGGAAGGTTAAAAAATAGGCTGACTCACCAGTCAGTGTATTTCATAATTAATACTTGAGTCTGCTATGTGCAAGGCAGAAATAAGTGGCAGGAACAGTTTCTACCCTCATACAAGGGCAGCCTGCTCTCCTTATAGCACTGTCCTGCCTACTGTTGAATATAGGTGAATACAGTTAAAAAAAAACAAAATAAAAAACAACGAACTGACATAGAACAAATGCCTGTTTTTTAGCACTTTGGCATACAGTTAATGTCTTCTGTCGGTGACAGTTTTTCAGTACTCCTTTTTGGAAAGGTTATTTTAACTTCTGTATAATTTGAGGAAGGACTCGAAGATATTGCAGGTTTACCGTCACATGAAATAAGTGATAACCAAGTCACTGACCAGGAGTGATTCTTGCTATTCAACAGAAGCAACTATAAATTATTGTGTAAAACAAATCAGAGACAGTTATTTTTAGGTTTGCTTTGAGGACAGGATCATAAGTACTGGATCTTAAATTTTCCTTTCAGGAGATTATTAAGGATGAGACTGAGCTCATCTTTATGTCTGTAAATGTTCTCTAACAGTATTTTAGGGCTAAGCACAGTCCTAAAATTCAGCACTTTGGGAGACCAAGGTGGGAAGGTGACTCGAGGCCAGGAGTTCAAGACTAGCTGGGCAACATAGTGAGAGCCCCCCGCCTCTAAAATAAAATATATATTTTTTTAATTTTAGGAAATTAGCCAAATAACGGCTTGCAGTAGCTATGATTGCATTGTGGAAATGGAGTTCAGGGCTTGGCCCATCTACTGTAATCATTCGGCTGGCCTAAGATAAAAGTCTTTTCCCCAACACTGGTGAGCAGGAGGTGTTACTGCCTTAGCTAATGACTGTGGAGCCTCTGTGCTTTAAGAGGGCTTGTCTGCCCTCTGGCCAGGTTGAACTTAGGTCCCCATGCTCATACTTATGACAGCTGGTCAATGAAAAGCTTTGGGGAAGCTGAGGCAAAACAAGCAACACCTCAGCCCCAATGGACCTGAACAGTTTCTTATCCCCTAGCGGATGCGGGGCTGCTCAGTGTAGCCTTTGGAAATCCATTTCTATGTAAGTGGTGTAGGCCCTGGGCAACTGGCCTTTAGACCTGGAGTCAGATACCAGAATTTTTTTCTGGGTTTGAGTATTTATACCTTCCATTAGCATGGATAAGCCAGTCTTGCTGCTAGTCCCTATGCGATAGGACATAATTCTTTATAGAGGAGAGTGGCTTTCTCCCTCAAACTCACTGGGTTTTATAATTAGCATGATGGCTTTGATTTTTGCTTGAGTCAAAGTTGAATTGAGGCTTCTGTGGTACCATCTGATGCATCTACCCCTTGATCTGTTTTCCTTATTAGTGGTACAAGTGTTAACAGGAGGTATTTCCAGAAGAGAGTGAACATTATCTGTATTGCCAGATCCTACTTTTAGGCTAGGATGGTCTTTGGCTACCAGAACCTGTTACACCAGGTCTTAGAATTCCAGCGAAACCTGAAATGTGGATGGGGCTCCCATTTTGAAGGTACCTCCATCCAAAAGGTACCTCCATGGTCTTCCTGCTTGGCCTGCTGCCATAGAACTCCCTAGACAAGCTGTTCTTGGAATCTCTGCCAGGTTTTTCCTCTACAACTGGTGTTGTGTTGCCTGTGTTCTGTGATCCACAGGAGACACCTATGGCCCTGCATGTGGGGAGTCTAGATCATAAAATAGTTTCCAGATAGAGTTGGGACTCTCTCTCTTCCACGAAGTGATGGTAATTAATTTTGGGGTAAGGAAAATAGAGCTTTTTCATGAAGGCGTCTTCCCGCACCAATTAAACAACAATTCTAATATGTAGTTCTCTGGATGAAAGAATTAGGTACCATTTTTCTTTATATTTTTCTTTATTTTTAATACAGGGGAAAAGCTGTACAAATGCATTTTTCTTTATGAAAGGCATGGAACATCAGTAAATAGAGGATCAACAATAACCATAATCTAAACTAGTTAAGTGCCACACTGAATGGTCAGGGCCAGGGCACTCAAATGGAAATCTGAAAGTGCACATGTCTTTATTCCTGTTTCTGCTAATTGCATAGAACCCATTTTATTTATCTGTTATGTGGGAATGTGGAACAGCTCTTTGGCAAAGTCATTAACTCTCTTCAAGTATTCGAGACAAAACATAAGGCTAGTACTTGCTTTATAAAGGCCCACATGAAGTATGTAGAGCTTTGGACTGGAAAGCAGTTAAATTTAGGGTAAAGGGGTAAATATTTCATAGGAAACAAATGCTGTTTGTTTTTTTAATTTTCTTTTTTCTTTAATTTATTATTATTTTTTTCCTGACCCTCAGAACATGTGACTTTATTTTATTTTTAAGAGAGAAGGTCTTACTCTGTCTCCCAGGCTGAAGTACAGTGGCACAGTCATAGCTTACTGCAGCTTCGACCTCCTGGGCTCAAGTGATCCTCTGGCTTCAGCCTCGAGTGTCTGGGACTACAGCCATGCATTGTGCTAATTGAAAAAAAATTTTTGTGTGTGGAGATGGAGTCTCACTGTGTTACCCAAACTAATCTCCAACTCCTCACCTCAAGCAGCGCTCCTGCCTTGGCCTCCCAAAATGCTAAGATTATAGATGTGAGCGACCATGCCCAGCCAGGTTTTCATTTTTCTGTGCATTTTTTTCTTCCTGCACGGAGACCTTTGAGCATTGTGTTGATTCTAAACCTTAAAGGAATTGAAGCTTTTGTTGCTTTCCTTGGGTCATTCTGGATGAATGATTGTTGTTGGGAACTGCTGAGTCAGAGCAGCTTGTTTTAAGCTGCTTTACTTTCTATTAGGTTGGTGCAAAAGTTACTGTGTTTTTTTCCATTAACAGTAATGGCAAAGGCCAGCCATTTACAGGTGGCTTCATGCCTGTAAATCCCAGCATTTTGTGAGACCATGGCAGGCAGATCATGAGGTCAAAAGTTCAAGACCAGTATGGCCAATATGGTGAAACCCTCTCTCTACTAAAAAATAGCTGCACATGGTGGTGCGCACCTATAATCCCAGCTACTCAGGAGCCAAGGCAGGAGGATTGCTTGAACCCGAGAGGTGGAAGTTACAGTGAGCCAAGATCATACCACTGCACTCCAGCCTGGGCGATAGAGCAAGACTGTCTCGTGGTGGGGGGAAATGGCAAAAACTGCAATTACTTTTGCACCAACTTGATACCTCTGATGTATGTGACCCTCCTACCAGGCCTTGCAAAATGGAATCCAAGAGCCCTTTGCTGCGCCAGCCCACGCTTGCTCGAGTGGGTGGATGCTGTGGCTGCTGAGACAGTTGGAGCCATAGCTTGTCTGCCAGAGGCATGGTTTGCTCGGGCTGGCAGCCATGTGGCATTTTGGCAAACGCCAGCTGCTTCCTTCACCAGTGCTGTGCCCTTAATCAGGTTACTTCACCTCTCTGAGCTTGGAGATCATACTTGTCTCCTTGTGAGGGTTAAAGAGAACGTGTTAGATGCTACTACTGGATGCTCCATTGGTGTTGGCCTGTCCATTCCCCAAATCATCTCCTTGGGATTTTTTTGTTTAGTGATACCACCAAGCAGCTAGAGACACACTTCTGGTTTTGGGAGGCTTTATATGGAAAAACAAAAAGCAGGGATTGGGGAGGAAGCACACGTCATGGCCCAGCATGTTCATGGTTTGTGTAGCTGCTTTTGATGTTGGCACATCTTAGTGTCTTACTCTTATCAGGGGAAGCAAGACTGAAGACTCTTCCACTCAGCCAAGCAACATAGAAAGTGCCTTTGGCAAGCTGGAATAAACCTCAATATGTGGCCAGGGAGAGGTAGGGTGGGGAGAAGGAATACTGCAGTCCATCAAATTTGGTTTTGAATCTTGACTCTGTCTCTTACCACGTGATTTTTTTGTTTAAATTGAAAGAGGATTTTGCTCTGTTACCCAGCCTGGAGTGGTGCAGTGGGGCAATCACAGCTCATTGCAGCTTTGACCTTCCAGGTTCAAGTGATCCTGCCACCTCAGCCTCCCGAGTAGCTGGGACCATAGCCATAGGCCACCATACCTGGCTAATTAAAAAAAAAAAAAATTATAGGAATGCGTTCTGACCATATTGTCCAGGCTAGCCTCAAGCTCCTGGGCTCAAGTGATCCTCCTGCCTTGGCTTTCCAAGGTCCTGGGATTACAGGTGTGAACCACCGCACGTGGCCTAACCACATGACCTTGAACAAGTCTTAGTCTCTGCAGTAAAATGGGTGTCAGTGAAATAGGTGTTGTAATACTCACCTGGCTTTTAGGGGAGAGGTGGGGATTAAAGGCAATGTAGGATAAGCCCCTAGTACTGTGCCTGAGACTTAGGTGCCAAGTAGGCTGCTGCTATTTCTTCTACAGTGTTTTTGCTGATACATGTGTAGTTAGCTAGCGGTAGCCTTACATCTGAAGTTAAGGTGCATAAAGTGGCATATGAGAATCTTGAGCAGAGTGGTTGAGACATTTTTGTCAAGAAGGAAATAGGAAAGCTTTGTGACCTGGGTGGAGGAAGGTTGGCATCGACTGGTCTACCATCTGAAAGATGGGGGAGTTACCTCTCCACCCTCCTCCTCTTTGGATGGTGGATTCAGTGAGAAGCTTAGCAACTTGAAATGTACTGATCTTTGGCCTGCTGAGGTTTTGTATAGCAAAGACCCTCAGGCCTTGTCTGTGCATTGGGGCTTCCTTATGACTCACTGGGAACCACAGATTCCTGCACTGGGTTTGGTTGTCAAGTTGCACTGCTGTGTCTACCATCACTGACTATCTTCACTCTCTTCCAGGGGCTCCATGGGCCTTACCCCTTCGGCCAGTCTTAAACGGGTGTCAGCAAGAAGAAAAATTAACAAAAGACAGAAGGCCTGACTTTGGGGGGTAGGGCAAGGGGTTCCTCTGGATTGCAGACCACATCGCACAGACCCCTGGCTCTGACCCCCTCTCATCCTGGAAGAAGAGGAAGAAGCAGAACAGACTAGTTTTGAGTAAACTCAGTATGCATGTGTGAATGCTGAATCCCAGGAATGGTGTTGAGGCTACCAAGAAGAAATCCATGCAGCCACTTTGGGTTTTGTTTATATAGGCATCAGTCTAACAAGTCATTAGGTCACTGGGGAAGGGGGAAGAAGTTTAAAATGGGGGAAAAAGCCATCTTTTTAAACAAAAATTATTTTGCCTACAGAGAGGTTGTAGTTTTGAGCACATGCTAATTTTTTCCCCTTTCCCTACTTTTATTTTTTTAAATAAGGGATAACATATTCTTTATAGAATAGTGCTTGCTCTGGAAGAGATTCAGGTAAAAAGTTGGCATGGCATATTTGAGGACTCTGCGGATCAGTGCTACAGGAGTACATCTGCTGTGCCACATGACTCCAGAAGTCTCTGACGCCATTTGTTTTTAATGGCATCAGCCAATGAGTTGTCACCCCTTTCCTCCTCTTTTCTCTTTAATCTTCTGTTGATTTACACCTTTGACATTTGTGTTTGTCAACCCTGTGGCTTGTTAGCATCAGAACCTCTCTGAAGACCAAACTTCCCTGTGTGGCCAGCAGAGGAAGCCTTGAGGATAGATCTCGGGTGACGTGGGATTTTCTGAGCCCGAGAGGTGTCCTTCTGCATACCCTTGTAACAATTCAAATTGCTTTTCTTCCATGTTTCTCTTGGCAGAGAGAAATGCCGTCATGCTTACTGCTCTTTTGGATTCTTCATGCAGTGGCTTCCCATTTGCTCTGGGAACAGTGCCTCGGTGCTGGGTGTATGTATGCACCACGTGTGCACGCACGGGTGTTGGTGCAACTTGCCAGCAAGTGTGCAGCAGGCAAGCTTTGAAGGCAGCCCATGCTTCTCTGTTGTCACACAACTCCTTTCCCTGTTTCCCTTCGGTTGTCCTCTGTGATAATTTCACAGCCTGTTAGTAGAGACTGAGCTGTTAAGGTATGAAAATACAACCCCAGATGGGGAATTTGTCGTGGGGAAGGGCTAGCCACTGCCTACTTGATCTTGGAGACCACAATTAGATGGAAATGAGAGGACCTCCACAGCCCTGCCTCCCTGCCAGGATGCTTGGTTATTGGCTGGGAGGTGGGCAGGTGGCAGCCCAGCTGAAGCAAGAGGCTGATTGGCTGGCTGCTCACTCAGGCAGGTGGTCACCCTGACATCCCGTGGATTCTGAGCAGGTTGAGATGTGGATCTCTTCATGGGAAGCTTGAACCAGGCTAGAACAGCTGTCTGCCAAAGATACAAGAATATGCAAACTCCCTCATCTCTTCTCACCCCCCTCCTTCCCTCAAGTCTTAGTTGGTTTGAGAGCCAAGGATATGGATCCAGGGTGCTGTTGCAGGGTCACCTGCCTGTTACCACATCCCTATCCATCTGGGTGGTGGATGGGGTATGAGACAGGCAGGGAGACCAGGTGATGAGTGGCTGCAAGGAGTCATATAGCCTGGGTGTGGGTGAGGGTCTGCCTGCCTGTTTCTGTCTGGGTGTCTGAGTTCCAAAAAATGTGTGTTGTTTGTTCCTCCTCATCCTCTTCTGAGACTCTTGTTTTTTTAAAGCTTGATTGTGGGAGAAAAGCTTGTGTGAAATTCCCTCTTCAACTCCCCAGCCCCCCCAAAATAAAAGGGCGCATAACCTTTATTCCAATGGAGAAGCCCTGGGGGTGGGTGTAGCCAGCCTGCTGAGAAGCATGGTGCAGCTGGGTCTGGGACCTCACTAGAGCTTACTTTGGAGCATCTACTTTCTGTGCATATGGGAGTGCTCCATTTCCTAGCAGAGCAGAGCGAAGTCTCTGCCAGGTGCCCACACCGCATGCCTCAGGATGGCTTTTTGTCTGAGGGCCTCATTAGGCCCAGACTGCTGCTGCTGGTACCAGTCTCCTGAGACACTGCCACCCTGGAGCCCATGCATGTCCAGCTGTTCTTACTGCTTAGTAGCCTTGAAGCAGCATATCTCCACTGTCCCTGGCAGGATCGTGGGAGGCTTTACAACCCCTGCTTTCCTGACTTCCTCATCTGTCCAACACACTGGGTGACCCTTTCCAGTTTCCCAGCAGGGGCTTCATGGGCCCCCATCAGTGGGTCTGGGCCTGCCAGAGTCATCCTGCTCTTCCTTTTGCTTCTAAGCAACCTCACTTGGCAATTTAAATGTCCAAAGCACCTTGTCCCCCTTCTCAAGAACAAACCATTTCTGTGCACCTTCTTGGAGGCAAAGTGAGCTCCTTGCAGAGGCCAGAGCAAGTGCAAGTCTTGGAGTTCAGGCAGAGGGGTCCATGGCTTCCCCAGCCAAGGGAAGATATCAGTATCATTCGTTCTCTCTCTCCCCACTGGTATGGGTTCAGAGCAATGCCTAGAGCACCTCTCTGCTCCCCTGCCTAGTGGGATGGCAGTGGTTACCTCTCAGCCCCAGTAATCCCTGCTCCTCTTAGAAACTTCACCAAGTTGCAGGCCACCTCTGGGAAGGACCTCCTGTAACTGGCACCCAGGAGGTGAGGCAGACACCGTGCTTAGATGATAGGGTCTGAACCCATTTGGGGATACAGGGGTTCAGACTTGGGAAGAATCTGTCAGTGTGCATGGAGTGAGGTGTGTGTGTATGTGTGTGTGTGTGTGTGTGTGTGTGTGTGTGTGTGTGTGGATAAACGTGCACGTGTGCATGCCTTTTTCCTTTTTGCCATGGAGACAGTTGAATTGGGGGCATTTTTCTACGAGAAGCAGTCAGCCTTCTCTCCTCTATAAAGACTGGCTGTCCATCAAAGTTACTTCCAGCCTGGAGAGAAACTCACCAAACAGCTGGTGTGGCCTGAGGGTGGCCATGGTGGGAAATGGGCATGAGAATAAATACCTCCCCAAATTCAATCTGAGCCCAGCAGGAGAGGATGGTAGGGTTGCTAGGGCTCAGAAGTGCAAACTGATTACCCACCCCACCCTGCCTCGCCATACCTTTCCTTTGTTTCCTTGGGTGAATGCAGGAGCAGCAGTGGCTGCCCTTCCCACATGGACAGTGGTGTGTGTAGAGAGCAAGCTGGGTGGATGTTTGTGGTGGGGCCTCATGGTGCCTAGGAGGAGATAAAGATGAGGAGGTTTTTCCTTACTGTATAAATGAATATTTGTATGATTAAATTAACACACACCAAAAAAAAAAAAAAACAAAACTGTTTTCATGTGTATTGGTTTTATTGCACCCTCAAGCCTCCTGTAAACGTGCATGGCCCCATAATGGCTCTATGATGTGCACTGTTTGGTCTCTGGTCCTTACCCTTTTGCAGATGGGAAAACTGAGACCCTGAGATTCATTTTATGTTTGGGAAATTAGTCCTGGGTTTGTAATGGGATCTCCTGTCCTTTCTGTTGCCCGGGGACCAGGAAGGTAATGAAACTGCCTCCAAATGGCCTGTAGGTCACCAGGGTGCCATGCCTCTGTTGATCACCACTGTATCCCCAGCACACAAAAAATGTCAGCCAAGCTAGCACTCATCAGCCAGCAAGGATTGTTTGGGCCTTACTGTGTGATGACTAGCAGACAGCACAGATTCAGAAGTCGCACAGGAAGAAGGCAGAGCAACACAGCGTCTTCCTATTGGGAAAGCAGACAAGTTGGAGGTGGGGACCCTCACCTTATTCCCAGCTGGATTCCTGCCATCCCGAGTTTAGAAGAGAGAATGCATCTTGTTTCCCATGGTTTGGTATAGTTCCGGGTGCTCAGGGCGTCCCTAGCTTTTTATGGATTAGGTAGGTCTCAGTAGGCTGGACTGGGAACCTGAGAGTTAGGTAGGGACCACACTCCAGGCAATTGGCAAATGGACTTGGAACCCACCCCACATGAGACAGTGTGTTTACCTTGACGGGGAACCAGATGAGGGGAGAATGTTACCCAGTGGTCAGATTGCATTGCCCAGGAGTCAGCCTGAAAGAAACTTAATTGGCACATATGAAGCAGTACTGTAGTACTCTTAAGAGCTCAGGTTTGTCCTGTCATATCGTCACCCCTTTGTGTTGAAGAGAGTGAGTGAAAGGGCTGTTGCCTGAGTCTCACAGCTTAATGGATGAGTCAGGTTTGGATCTTTAGCCTCCAGATGCGAGCATTGTTTTCACTTAGCTGAGGAGCCAACCCTTCATCTGCAGACCCCCAAATTTGTCCATCACACTGCCTGGCAGAGCTGGGTGTCCTTTTTTATGTGTGTGCAGCAGTCTTGCACTGTTGCCTAGGCTGGAGTGCAGTAGCATGATCTCAGCTCACTGCAACCTCTGCCTCCCAGGCTCAAGCGATCCCCCTACCTCAGCCTCTTGAGTAGCTGGGATTACAGACGCATGCCTGGATGCTCTGTTTTTTTGTTTGTTTGTTTGTTTGTTTGTTTGTTTGTTTGTTTTTAAGAGACAGGGTTTCCTTGTGTTGCTGGGTGTTCTAAATGATGGCCGTGAACCAGGGGATCCTAGGGGACAAGAGTTGGGTGGGGAAGGATTCCCTGGCTGCTTCCCTATAGGTCACTCAGTAAGGGAACCTGTGGTCACAGATTGTATGAAAGAAACGAGCCCCACTAAGAGCTGGTTCCCTGCCCCAAGGGCCTGAATGCAAGACTCTACTTTCTCAGGGAGCAGCCTGATACAGAGCCCAGAGTGAAAGAGCCTGGGAGACTGGCCCAGAGATCCCTGGGGTAAGTGACAGTGTACCTGCATCCTGCTTCCTTCCAGGTGCCCACAGCTGTTTGTTCTCTGCAGGGGAGCCCACCCCCCAGTTCACCTGGGTCTTCTGGCAGCTCAGACCCACTCCTAGGCCTTCCCCGACACCCCCACTGCTGAACCAAGTTATTTGCTTGGCAGAATCTGTTTGTCTTTGGGGCTGTAACCTGTCAGGGAGTCACCAGGCCCTGGGAGAAAGGAGCTAGTTTATGGTAGCTCCTGGCCTGAGCCATTCCCACGGGGGCTGGGTGACAGGGAGGGGGCTCTTAGCTGAGTCTGGGAGATGGTAGGCAAGCAATTGCAGTGGTCTGGGCCCAGCCCTCCTGGCAGAGCAAACAGGTGCTCTCAAGTCTCCTCTGTGCCTCCGCTCAGGTTGTATCTGGGTGCTCCCACCCTGTTCCTGAGAAGGTCCCTCCCTCAGGCCCTTTTCACGCAGGTTCCTGAGAAGGCCACCTGCTTGCTGTGACCCAGCCATTTCCCAGACATCACCTCGTGCCCAGCCCTGTCTGGTTGCCAAGAGAATAGGCACTGAGGGCACTCATGGCAACCCCAGATTTTGAAAATGGGGAAGGAGCAGGCAAGACGGCTTAGAGATAGGAGAGATTATATGTGAGTTTAGGGGTCAAGGGTGTTCAGAGAATGGATTCTGGCCAGTCAGCATGACTGACTGAAGACGTATTAGTATAGAAACAAGAACCTGAAACTTAAAATAAATAAATATATATATATATATAGTTTTTAGCCCTTAGTTCTGAAACACTGTGATCTGGGGCAATGAAATGTGTTAAAATGTGGATTCTGATTTAATAGGTCTTGGGGAAGGGGGCAAGATGCTACATTTCTAGCAAGCTCTCATGGATGCTGCTGGTCCTCCAACCACACAGGAGGTCCAACCCCCGCCCCACCCTCCGAAAATCCGCTCAGCCTGTGGGACTCTAGCCAGGGGTGTGTTGACCAGGCCCACTAGGACTTGAACGAGTTGAGGTCATTGGGAACAATAATGTTTAAAATGTGGGCAGTGGTTACCCAGCATTTCCCACGGTTTATTCAGGCTGCCATTTTCGGCTTAGCCATTATTTCTGGTGTGCTGCCCTTCTGTCACAAACAACAGATGTCTGAGCATCCACTGTAATTGTGGTAATTTTGCCTGACCATTATTGATCAGTTCCTATTAAACAGTTTTCTTATATGAATCACCACATTTAATCCACAGCTGTCCAGATGAGGCAATCAAAAGCAGATAAGCCTGGTACTTAGTTTGTGAGCAACTCACTCCTCTAAGTGTCTGGAGTCCTGTACAAGTGGTAGCTGTCTTGGGGAGCATGAAGTAGGAGACCTTAACTTAGTCCAAGCATTTCAGGGAGACTTCCCTGAGGAAATGACACTGAAGCTGAGACCTGAAGAATGGGGAGGATGGGAGGAGGCTGGAGGAAACAGCCTGCAGGAAGTTGGGAGAGGGCCGTGTACTGGAGAGGCTGAAAGGAGATCAGTGCCTCAGAGAATAGGGGCTTCCCACTTACTGCCCCAGACTAGCCTGGGAGAGCTCTGCCCCCCTCACCCTTTGGCAGTTTATTAATTCATTCACTTAATTAACATAATTTATGTGCCAGGCTCTATTCCAGGTGCTTGGGATATAGCAGTAACCAAAAAAAGACAAAAACCCCTGCCATCATGGAGCTGTGTTCTGGTGGAGTAGACGGAGCACAAATGTATGTCAGGAGGTGACAGGTACCATGGAGAAAAAGGAGTTTCGATGAGGGTGAGAGGATCACTAATTCATACAGAACAGTTAGGGAAGGCTTGATTAACACGCAGAGACTAAGCCTTGTGAATACCTGGAGTAGGAACGGAATGTCAAGACAGAGCACAGCAGGTGCAGAGGTCCTGGGTAGGGGCAGGAGATGAGGTCAGAGCCCTGAGGTGGTCAGATTGTGTGGGGCCTTGAGGTGACTGAAATGACCT